GACTGGAGTTCTAAGGAGTTGTCAGCTATGGATGGTGAGGTTATTGGAGGGATTTTGAATATTCTCAGAAAAAAGGCTGTTTAAACGTCAACAGCCTAGTCATTGAATCTTATTTCTTGTCCCTCATCGCAGTAGTTTATGAGTGTTCTCTGCCTTACAAAGCTCTGAGACGTGAACAAAATAGCAGAGACAAATACGCAAAGTTAATTTGATGTGCTGGTAGTTCTTAGTGAGATTCAATGAGAATTAAGTTGTATTCTGTATATCCAAAAGGTAAGGCGTCTGTAATTCTATTTTAAAAACTAATATCAGAAATGGTTAAAAAGAAAAAAAAAAATCCTGTGATAATACATATCAGAAAATGAAGAGCTCCTCCTTCCCTCCAAAAGAGAATGGGTTATGTTTTATCCAAGGTAAGTCTGGAGTCGTAGCCAACCAGTCAGTGAGATACACACTGGCCCTCTGACAGTTGTCAGGGTTCTTGACATTGCTGCTAGTGATCTGTCAATAGAAACACCTGGTGATGGCAACAGAGGTGAGTTTCACTAGATAAGAGTCCCTGGGGGCCTCACTGAGCTGCTGTGGGGCTGGTGGAGAACAGGAGGAAGGGCGCCAGCCGGAGCCCCATCCTCTGACCTTTAGCAAGTGCCTGGCTCTAGATTTTATGGATTCTACTTGGCATGGAATAAAGATGAAAAAGGGTTCAGTTTGACTATCTCCTTTATACCTACACATAAACATATTCTAAGGAGAAAATATGATTGCATCCTTTCTGCAGTCCTGCAACTAAGTCTTTAAAATCACAGAATATTTTCGACCCGGTGTTCATTGGATCATTTGTCATTACGCCAAATAGTTTTTGGCTCTCAGAGCACTTGAAAAACATGCTTTGGAGATTCTGTGTAACATCCTGGGTGGGGTGGTTTCTAAAGGGCTCAATCTTAAAGACAATGAAGAGCTGTAAGACCGGTGCTTAGTACTCAGGCGCCGACTTCCCAGCGATGCTGACCAAGCTCCGACCATGCCGCTCTCACTCCACGCTGAGGGAAGGGCTCGCTGGTGTGTGTGCCACACAATCACCTTTATCCAAGTAAACTCAGTTTCTGCAAAAGTTATTTGATAATGAGAATTTATGTGTATTTCTCTTTTAGAAAACTATACAATATTTTGTACATATAAAAGAGAGAAATATAAAATATAAATTATTTAACCATAAAATTTATACCCCTATGTTTACCATCTAGTTTAAGAAAGAAAACTTTTCTAATCATTTTGAAGCTCTCTATAATTATTCTTCATTCTAGAGGTAACTACTATCTTGAATTTTGTGTTTACCATTCTCATTTTTTTACTTATAGGTTATATATATATGTGTGTAAAACTGTAATATTATATACATACAGTAAGACCATATATGTATGTGGTAACATCTATATGGTAAAATGTATATGTATGACAAAACTATAAGGAAAAGGATATATATAATATTATATAAATATGGTTAAATATTTATAATATTATATAAATATGCATAGATCCCTAACAAAATAGTGTTAGTTTTACAAGTTTTCTAACTTTATATGAAAGGTATAATTTATGCTTTCTTTGTGATTTGCTTATTTGTTCCGAATTTTGTGTGTGAGATTCATGCATATGCATGTAGCTCATTAATTTTCTCTGTTGTATTCAATTGCATAAATATACCACAAGTTATCTATTTACTCCCCTTTTGACTTCCAGCCAGGTTGTTTCAGCCTGACAAGAATATTTTTATATGTGTCTCCTGGTGTTCACAAGCAAGATTTTCTCTAGGGTATAAAAAGTGGAATTGCTGATTAGTGGAAGACGCATGTCTGCAACATTGCTACGTAATGCCAAATTGTTTTCTGAAATTAGCATATCAATTCACACCCCCACCAACAGTGGCTCATAGTTCCCATTGTTCCACATTTTCTCCAGTCTTTGGAGTAGTTAGACTTTCAAATTCTTGCCAATTTAGTGGGTGTGAACTGATGTCTTGTGGTGGAGTTAGTATTATTTCCCTTGTTTCTAAAAAGGCTGAGCTTCCACTTTAATGTTTCTGCTCTGGTTAAATGTCTGCTCATCTTGTATGCCCCTTTTATCATTGAGTTGTTGACTTTTTCTTGTCTGTTTTTAGGAATTTTTTTTTTTTTAAAGATTTTATTTTTTCCTTTTTTCTCCCCAAAGTCCCCCGGTACATAGTTGTGCATTCTCCGCTGTGGGTTCTTCCAGTTGTGGCATGTGGGACGCTGCCTCAGTGTGGTCTGATGAGCAGTGCCATGTCCGCGCCCAGGATTCGAACCAACGAAACACTGGGCCGCCTGCAGCGGAGCGCGCAAACTTAACCACTCGGCCACGGGGCCAGCCCCTGTTTTTAGGATTTTTTTATATATTCTGGACACAAATTTTTTTTTGGTTTTGCATGGATGTTGCAAACATTTTCTCCCAGGTTATTGTTATCTTTTCAATTTATTTTGACACAGTCTGTTATTTCCTTAAAATTTTTACTAAGGCAAACAAGTATTTTCTGCTTAATATTTAAAGAGGTAAAATTGGATTAATCATACTCAGAATTTTTATTTAAATATAAGAATTGGAAATGATACATTTGTGTTCATTATTTTAAAAGGCAAAATGGCAGAAATATGTTTCCTGACAGACTCTCCAGCACAATCTATTGGGAAGATGATATCTGGTCTTAACCAAATGGATTCCTTTCTCTATTTAACTGAATCCTGTCATCATTTCAGGCATAGCCAAAAAAATCTGTAAAAAAATCAAGTAGCAACACATCTCTCTCTTTCCTTCCAGCATCCAATTTCTGGGAAAAGTAGTCAATCCTCATCTCCCCTGCCTCATAATCACTCATTCCTGACCCTCTGGTGATCTGACCTCTCTGGGACTTGCCTGGAACCTGACCTTTCAAAGACTGCAGTGATCTTGTAATTTCCCAATCGAAGGGCCTCTTATTTAGAGTTGCTGGATTTAGCAAATAAAAATACAGAATTCGCAGTTAAATTTGAATTTCAGATAAGCAAAGAATATCTTTTCTGCATAAATATTTCCCAAATGTCCCAAATATTTGCCCCTCATCCCCCCTCCTCGAAGCATATTCAGTTGAGCACGAAGTACTATCAATGCCTCAAGAATTTATATTAATAATTCCCTCGTAGTGATTGTAATTCTGGAGCGAAACAAAGATATGGAAATTTTGGTATTTAGTTCATGGGATACATTTATAGAACACTGAGCTCTGATTACATTTCTTTCTAATCAAATGCTCTTTCACCAGTCTCCAGGCCTGAGATCTCCCCCTCCTTCTGCGGAGTCTCCCTAGGCGCTGTGATTGGGGAAGAAGATGTAGGCTGACATAATTCTCCTAGTGGGAAGAGTTAGAGCCTCAGACAGGGACTCTGACCGAGAAAATCCAACTCTGAAGAAAACAGAGGTTAGGCCGGGGGTGTGGGGTGGGGGGGGGGAGTGCGGGACAGGTGAAGCTTGGACTCAGGCCTGGGGCTCACCTTTCTTTCCTCTCCTAACCCTCCATCAGACATTTTTACTTTTCCTCTAACTTCTCCTATCTTCTGGAAGGAAATGCAAGAGACTAATAAACATAAACCCCAGAAATGGAAATTAAAGCAACAATAAAATATCTTGGAAGGATTTCAAATAGGTGAGGGAATGTGGTCAAAAGCCTTTCTAAATAAAGCTACTTTTGTTTGGTTTGAACTTTAACTGCAGCAATAATTTCAGGATGTAAATGATTTGAATTACAAGTAGTATACCATAAAAAATGGCAACATTTAGCACTTAAAAATAGCCCAACATGACAAAAAACAGAATTCCTAATAAAACCAAGAATCAGTACTTCCTTCCAGGTTCTAAGTCTTTAGTCATTGCTTTCAGTATTGAAATTCAGTTCTTCATTCAAGATCCACCTTAAAAGTCATCGTCTTCTTGAAGCCTTCGTCTGTCTCAAGAGTCTCAGTGCCTGGCTCCGAGGAAGTTTGCATTTCGACTTAGTCCTTATGGCTGTGGCCGTAGACTGCAGTCCATTACAAGTCCCTGATTGTCTTGGGTCACCACTTCCTTAAGGGGAGAGCCCATGCCTCATTTAGAGTTATTTCTCCACTGTTCTTGGCACTGGATTGTGCTTAAAGACTGTTGACTTGAACCTCACCAGCCGTAAAGCAAAGAATAAACCATTCATTTTGCTCAGCTTGACAAGCATGATTCTTGTATAACAATGTTATATTTGTATTAGTAAAATAAATTGGTAATATATTCTACCTTCAAAATTATACCTTGATAATCTTTGAGTATACATACATTCAAGTTTTGGAAAATATTTAAAAAGAGACAGCTGTGTACTTCAGTGATAAAGACATATTTAAAAAGCAAGAGTCTAAAAAATGCTTGACCCGCTAAGCAAGAGAAGGTCATTGTTAGTGATGGGTCTTTTTCTTGTCTGAAAGGTCAGAAGACTTTTAATATGTCTGCAAGGAGAATGTTTGAGAAACAAGGAATGTGGCCTGTCCTCCACTGACTTCAGCTGTATATTATCATGGATCCCGATTTGTACCTGTGGAAACTGATGACGTTAAGCAACTTGCCTAGAGGGAGTCATTGACTAGAGCAGGGAGCAGTCCTCCAGCTTGTGCTGTGACCCATAGCCTGTGTTGACAGAAGTCAGGCTCGCAGACTGTTTTGTAAGTGCAGTGTTAGCATAATGCTGCAAACAATCAAGCGGCACCTGCTTTAGACATGGCCAGAGAAGTCAGCTTTCTGAAAGCACAAATGACCTGGGAACGAGGAGCTAAATCTGAGAAAGATGAGCCCTGTGGTTGGTAACATTTTTATTAGAGACCTATAGGAAATAAATGTTCACCCCTCAAGAGTAACTTGGGGAACATTCGAGCCACCACAATTATTCCTGCACAAAACCTCTCTAGGCCTTGCTTCTAAATAGTGCAGTTTTCTTGTAATCTGACTGGACACAGCTTTACTGAAATGATGGGAGGAGAGAGAAGGAGCTGTGCCTCACACAGGGGGAAGGTATACTGAGATAAATGGTGAAATAAAAAATAAGCCTGGCATTAAGAAAGTGGCTTAAAGAGTGTTCTCCCATAATGTTTAATGAAAAAAGTAAGTATGCCATTTAGATCGTTGCTAGAACATTGAATTGCTACCATTGCCTTTTCACAGTTTGGATAAAATATGTAACCAAATCCTAACACTCATTATGAAAACACATATGGAAAGTCCTTTTTCATTCAGAGCAGACAACCTGGAAGCACTGTTTTAGTCACAAGAATGTGTTCCTGTGAATATGACTCCAGAGACCCAGACTTCAGCTCTGCTTTAATTTGCCACACAAGAGCTAAGATTTTTATTTTGCTTCACATTCCTCACAAGGTTCCTTCTGAAGCTCTTAGGCAAGATGTGATGTGGGGACAGCATTGTATCTATAAAGATTTCAAATATGTGGAGATTCCCACTGTTTGCAGCTCATGCATGATATGCTGAGAAAGTTTCATCCATACAGCAAACTCATTTTTACTTGATATATTCTTATTCCTGTGCATTTATGTGTTTAAGTATATATACACACATATTTTTTTGTTGAAATGCATACTTTCTCTATATTGCAAGATGAATAATCTGAATATCATCAATTATTTATGCATTTTGATTTAACATTATAGTTGATGTCTTAAGAATTTACTTTTCAAATCCAGAATTCTTTAGGCAAAGAGAGTTAGGCTTAACATTCAAGAAGACAACAGGAGTAAATTGCATAAAATACAATGTGCCATATCCTTTCTATCGTCACCAAATTGCTCGTCATGGGAAATGGACTTTGGAAGGCTCGTCATTTCTTTTGGGCCACTAACACTTTCGTGTACTAACAGCTTAAGAATTGTTGTGACTATTAAAAGTGCCTAACTTACAACTTGGAGTAAATTATCTAGTGGCTGAATCTCACTCAATATGGTGTCATTGCCTGAATCTCAAAAGAATCACATAATTGTTTTCTTGAGGAATTTAAGGCAGTAATGGGGGAATGGGTTCCACATACCCATCTCTCAGTCATTCATCGATTCTTTCATTTGACGCTTCTTTTGAGTGCTTCCTCTGAGGTAGGCTCTATTGTGTTTGCTGGAATAGAATGTTGAGTAAGTTAGACATGCCCAACTTTTTGGAGCCTATGTTTTAATGAGGGAGACAGAGTAATAGACAATTGCATAGATAAATAGGAGATGATTTCTGCTAGTGATCAGTGATGTAAAGAAAATAAAGTGGGGCAACTTTTTGTGGAGGGGAGTTGGGAAGCCTTCTGAGTAAATAATAAATGAACTGAGCTCTGAATGATAAAAGTAAACCAGCTTGGTGAAGGTCTGAGAGGGTGAGTATTCCAGGCAGTAGGAAGAGAAAGTTTCAGGCCTAAGTGGAGAGCCAGGCGGGGCAGTGGGGAGAGGATGAGGGTAGAGAGGTGGGCAGGGACTTGACTTTCTATATGATGGTGAGGAGTCTGGCCTTCTGTGACCGAAAGTCATTGGAGTATTTTAAGTAGGCCACTGGCTTGATTCATGTTTGAAAGATCACTGATTATTCTTGGAGAAAATATTGTTAAGGAACAGGAGTAGAAACGAGAATTTAGATGAGTGTCTATGGAGGTTTACACTGGGGGACAGCAGTGGAGGTGGAGAGAAGGATCAATGGAGGGAATGGGGATGTGTGTTGAGGGTAAAGGCTAAAGGATGTTGGGTTCAGGGAAAAAGCAGAATCTCAGACGGCTTGAACGTGGTGCACCCATGCATGGTGCATAGTGGTGCTGATTACTAACCCGGTAATTTGGAGAAGGAGTAGGTTAGGGTGAGAGAAGAAGGGATGGATCATAGGCCGGGCGGAAGCGCAGAGTTCTGTTGGTTGAGTTACATTTGAGATGTTGAAACACTCATGGTGAGGTTAGTGATCAGGGTGAGAAAGCAGGGCTGTTTGTTGATCATCTGATCAATAAACAGAGCACTGGGGAAAGCTAGAGGAGCTCCCCAAAAGGTTGAAAGCACCCTTTCACAGCTTTGAAAGCCTGAAGTCAGAATTCCTAAATCAACTTCCTCCTCTGCCTTACCTTTAAAATCCTCTCCTCTGCCTTACCTTTAAAATCCTCTCCTCTGCCTTACCTTTAAAATCTACTTGGTCCCCCAGGAGGGAAGAGTGCTTGGGACTAATGAATTAAGGACAATTTGGAAATGTTTATAGACTCTTCTATAAAAATACAACTTCAGCACAATATCCCCACCCATCCGTTCCACTGCACCTCTCCCACCAGTCTGGTTTTCTCTAATCTATTTTGAACTACATTCCAGTGACAAATGTGCAAGGAAGAGAGCTGGTTGTACTTGTATTGCTCATTCCACTCATCCTTCCAGGAGAACAGGCTATACGTTCATAACAAACCAGTAGAACTTTGGGTGGGAAATGGAAATGTTTTTTTCCCTGTTATCAGAATGTAGCCAGACTGAAAGAAGACCAGTTATCAATTAGTCATTTGGTATTCTAAACACTCGGATGTGGACTCCCCACCTGGTCATGGCTTGCCTGAATTGTAACCAAGTTTGTCCCAATGAGATTGCCTAAATGCTGGAGGGATTGTGCTTTTTGGCTGTTCAACCAGAAGTCCAGTGCTTAGGCCAGAATATTAGTAGTATTGTAAATTCATGAAGGACAGAACTGGCATCTTCTAAGAATGTAGCCATGAAGTACAGTGAGGGCTTTAAAACAGAATCTAACAAAAACATGAACTCAGAGATGAGCTTGGTCCTTCAAAGAATCATTACAGAAACAATGAAGGACTTTTAAAACTCCTTTAAAAAATTCTTTCAGGAATAGTTTTTCTTGCACATGTGAAAATTCTTTTTTAATTGATATTTCTCACTTTTAATCAAAATTCATTTATCATAGTGGGGAAAAAATCATAGTCTTTAAAGAGTCGCAGACTGAGGTCAAACCCAACCTGTGCTACGTTCTGGGTTTATGACCTTGGAAAATCCTTCTTTGAGCTTTCATTTACTCATCTAAAAATTGGTGAAATTTTAATAGCCTCTAAATATATGTGTGCCTTGAATCCAGCAATTCTACTTCTAGGGAATTATCTGAAGGAAATGATCATAGAAATCCACAAATATTGATCTGTGAAGAATGTTCATTGAAAGCATTGAAATACTGGAATTCTTTGATTATGACATATCCACATACAGGAATACAAAACAGTGAGTAAAGATGATTTTGTAAAAGAAATTTAGTGACATACAAAACTATTCAGAATATAATATTAAGTGAAAAATTATAAAGTTATGCACAGTATGATTAATTTGGGGGGAAGAGCATATTTACATAGTCACTGGTAGTAGAAAGACTCGACCGATAAACTTGGTGATGTCAATAGTGGTGAGACCTTGAAGGAGGTTTGTTTTCCTCTTTCTACTCTTCTAGATTTTCCAAACTTTTTTCAATGAATATGTACATATTTTATTATTATTAAAGAAGCATTAAATGGGACACTAAGATCCACTCTATAGGTTTCTGGTGGGAATTAAATTAGGTGAGATGATTTATAAAATACACTTAGCTTAGTGACTGGCATTTAGTTGGCATTTTCAATTATTTTTACCCAATTTAATCCTTCATCATGGATTTAGCTCAAAATGATTTTTGACTTAAAACAAAACCAAAAATATGACACTGTAACTGGTGAACCATTGTCACCATTAAGGATATTCAAAAGAATATATTGCAAGCTGTGAAGGTAATTTCAAAAGGGATGTACCTGAAATGCTGTGAGCAATGAGGAGGTAGGGGGGCGGTCGGACACACCGAAATCAGCATTTAAATTTAAGGTGACTAACTACTGTGGAGCATTTATGTGGACATGTAAGGTATGGATTATTTGTTTAAAAACCTCTCGTTACTATATAGCCACATTGGGTACATACACAGATATAACACTAACTCAAAGTGAGTAATTAGTCTGTCATGATAAATGCCCCCTCTTCTTCAGGCTGATAAAAGGTGTCTTGTTAGAGCCTCTTGTGTCATCCCAGAAACACCATACAGGAGCCTTGCGGCTTTCTCTTAGCAACATTCTTCATCCTGCAGAAACGTAGAGGGAAGATTTGTGGGTATGGGTGAAAGACAGCTCACATCCCTATCTCTCCTCCTGGACTGTTTATCCTCCTTGTGGGCTGTGCTCCGCTCTACCATCCAGGCCACACACACACACACACCCCTACACCCACCCACACACCCCCAGCCCCCCTTCACACCTTCCCTATCCTCTCCTATCTGCCTTCCCTTATGCTGAGTTAGGAGCTCCTCCTTTATTTTTTTTTTTAATCTCTGTTTCGGCTTTTACCATAGAATATTGTAAACATTAGTTTACTTATCTTGCTCCTGCACTGGAGTTCCTTGAGAGATCTACCACTTTTATTTAATATCTCAGAGCCTTCATTTCTTCATCTTAGTTTTCATCGGTCAAGTGGGAACATGACGCCGCATTAGAGGTTTGTGGGGGGCATTTCCATTGCATAATGGTAGTAGAGTGCCTGGCGTGTAGTAGATACCGAATCATGGAAGCTATTGTAATGATCAATTATGTTATTTATTTACTTTTGTATCCTCAGGGCCTGGCATTATTCCCTGATGCAGGATGGGCACAAAATAAATTTCTGGTGAATTAATGAGTTAGTTTATAAGCTTACAGAATATAGCTTTAAACTAAACATTTTGTAGTGTTTATAGGCTCAGCAACAATCCCATGCAATTCTCCTTCTCATTTCTTTCCCCAAATAACCTGTCTGGTGCCCATCTTTAGGTACTATCTTTCCTTGGGAAAATCATGGCTACCATATAGGAAAGAAAGCCTATTGACTGTTAATTCCATGTAGATGTGGCTTAACAGAGTTGAGAAGAATTTTCTACCTTGATCATCACCTCCTTAATCTACCTGTTTATTGTCCAGGAACCAGTCTCCCTTAGTTTTGTTAACCTCTAAACTCTCTTTAGATCCAACAAACAACTCCTGGCTGCAGTAATCTGATCAAGATGAGATCAGTTCTGCCGCTGACTCCAGACTCCATCAGATTTGTTAGTCCAATCTGACCACCTCTCTCAGTGCTGACAAAGCCCATCGGTTCATTTGCATTCCACATCCTATCTTTCCCCTACTTCCTTTGGGGAAGATGTTTGTGAATTATTTTCAGCCATTTGAATCACTCTGAGAGTTAAGTTCTATTTTTAAGCCTTTGAGGAGCAGCCGAGAAGGAATGATTTAGGGATGTGAGCCATTTCACAATAGTCTCCCACAGACAGCTCACGCTTCTGGTAAGTTTCAGCATGTTAAGATACTAGAGGTAAATGGGTCACTGCTCTCAGATATTGAAGACTAAGGGACTCGGTAGCAAAATGCCGTTTGAAACCAATGGTATGTGGTGCAGGTGAGACACAACAGAAGCTCTCTGCTGCTGAAGAGAAAGCTGTCCTTTCCAATATCTTCTGAAGAGACTGCTTTCTATCTTCACTATTTTCTCTGCCTGGATGCAGAATTTTGTCCTCATTTATCAGGACCGCTGTGTCGCTGTCCTTGCCAGACTTCTTGTGAGTCCTTGCCAAGAGGTTGTCAGCTGTTGAGCCTTCCTTGCAGGCCTTGCAGGGGGAGCAGACATCCATAAGCAGATCCCAAGGTGAGAGCCCTCTAGACCGGTTACCTCATTTGTTTTTATGAGCATTCCCCGAGCCCCCTGCCCACCAATCAATGTACATTTCTCCCCTGGAAAACCCTACCAGTTCCAGGAAGTCTGTCCAGATTGATAACAGCACAGATGTTCTATCTCATCTCAACTGTTCTAGATCTTTATACTGATTTTTCCCATCTCAGCTCTGCACCGAATACTGCCCATGCTCCTTCTGTTACGAGTCACCCTTGTATGTGAGTCTATGCCTCCTTGATTAAGTGTGCTGCTTTGTTTTGTCATCTGTATGTTCCTATCACACTGGCTCGGGCATTATTCCAGTAATACACTGTGCACAGTTAGAATGGAAGGGCCATGGTACTTTCTTTCTTTCTTTTAAGTTTTTTTAGGTGATCAGTGAAGCACCAAGTATAATTACGACTTCCTAAGTACTTTTCGTTGGTGATGATGAAATGTTCTTTCGTAGTCACAGACTGTGCCTTCCTGTAATCCAGGTCCCACATGTCATGGGGAACAATAATGGGATGTTAAAGCTGATGAAATCTGGAGTCATATCTTGTTATTAACAAACTGAAAACTTGGATATAATTTAAAGCAATTTCTTTCTTTTTCTTTTTTTTTTTTTGAGGAAGATTGGCCCTGAGCTAACATCTGTTGCCAATCTTCCTCTTTATTTTTTTTTCCTTCCCCAAAGCCCTAGTGCATAGTTGTATATCCTAGTTGTAGGTCATTCTAGTTCTTCTATTTGGGACATCACCACAGCATGGCTTGAGGAGCAAGGAGTACGTCAGTGCCCAGGATCCAAATCCACGAACCCTGGGCTGCCGAAGCACACGAACTTAACCACTCGGCCACAGGGCCGGCCCCTAAAACAATTTCTTTATATATAGCAAACCAGCTATGGTAATGGTCTGGGAGTGAAAATAAATCCACAGTTTTCATCATGGATCACGGACTTTGGATAAAGACAAAGAAATTTCTAAAATGCCAGGATTCTTCCAGCCTTCAGAGAAGTCACCCCTCCACACTAAGGTCAGATAGACTAATTTTTTTTTTTCCAGTGAGGGCACCAGGTTTTTCTTTGTATGCATCTGTTCTTTTGACATACATGGTAGAGAAAATCCACCACTAAATTTTGGAGATGTTGCTGTAATCACTAACTTCACAGGGAGGAAAGATGAGCGCAGTCATATTTTGGTCACTTTGTTGCTGTCAGCCCTGGTGGTAATTTGCAGCACTGTTGAGTTATGGGTTCATATTTCCAGACTTATGCATAGGAATGCAAGCGTGAGGAAATTTCAGTTGAGAACCAGAAGGGACCCAAGAGCCCTTTTGTTTTCTAAATAAGGAAACTGATCCTTAGAGAGGTGACGTTTAAAATCAGATGGCTGGCATTGCAAACTCACACGACTGGATTCCCAGGCTAGCGCTGCCTCTCTGAGCGCTTGGCACCGAAAATTGGGCAGAACTTGTAGGTACTGAGAAATTGCTCCAAGTTTTGCCTATTTATACAGAAGTCTTCAGGGTGCTTCATTGATGTCTTCAATTTTTGCAGAGGTGTTACTGTGGACATAATCCATATGTGCCTGTGTGTATGGAACACACATACCTGGTACGTAAAGTAATGAGACACTGTGAGGAAAACTTTTGTTCCAAATAATGCTGAACCATCACTACCCCGGTCTGTAGGACTCAGTGAATAAAGAAAATTCAGTATGGCGACAGCAAATATTTGGTGTAGGGAAGGAGGGCTGCGGATGCAAGAGGGTGGAGGGAGGACAGGTCTTCATCTTGCTGGGATTTTTCTAGGCCCTGTGATTCCAGCAGCTCTGGGCTCCTTGGCAGAAAGAGGGGGCCCCTTCTTTTTCTTTTATTCTCTTATTCTTCCCCCTACCCATCAAGAGAGTTCCAGAAGTTCCTGTCTCCCATCTAGGGGAAGAGATATTCTCTCTCTTCCTGAAAGGAAAATTTAAAATAAAAAAAATATCATGCATCATCTTTTATTTCTTATCTTATTTCTTGGAAGGACTGGGCTATGGAGATGGTTGACCCGTCTATAAAGTAAAAACAAATAACCAGACGAAAAACCCCTAAACATCTTGTAAACTCTCCCTCTTTCTCTCTGTACCTCCCTTTGAGTAGGTCCCACTAGGCCTTGCCTGTGTCCCCTGCGCACTGCGGTGCACAGGGCCCCTCTTTCGCGTCTCTGCCGACCTGCTGAAGTGACGCAGACCAACCCAAGTCCCCTGCTCACTCACATTATAACAAGGTTCTCTTTGTTCTGCTTTTCAGGGCAATTCATTGCCCTGAAGCACAGGTCTTCTCTTCCCAAGAGACTTTAAAATGTATGCCTCTTTTCCAAAATTATGGGAATCTTAATTTGTAATAAAATCAAATGAATAAGTTGTGGTAAGTTTTTGGCAGGATCTAGAAAACAATGGTTTCATTTAAACATGAATCACTAAATACTGCTTCCTTAACACAATTAACTCAAAGCAGCCCTTATCCTTAGAATTAAGAGATTTCCTTCACACTCTCTCTGCCTTACGCAGACTTCCAGTCTGGAGGTCTAGGCACTATAGCACAGAAATTGTTTTAACAAAATTTCTTTTCTCTAAAACATAGAATAGGGATGCATTCCTTCTCATTATCTTTCTGGAGAGATCTTCTCAGGCTTCCAGAGTCTCAATAAACCGATTAAGGCATGAGTAAGTAAATCTACCACAGGTGAAAGAAGGGAAAAGTTGAAGAATGTCAGTTCCCCTGAGGGAGATTTTTCAGAAAGCGCATGAGGAGCACGGGGATGCTATTGTTTACCGCGGAGGGCACTGTGGCTGGGTGACTTGCAGGGATAGGAGCTTAGAAAGTGTACCAGGCCCTCTTTTTCTAAACAGGACTGCAGAGGGGTGCATACGGCTGTGGTGGGCACAGAGGTGAGTTGAGAGTGAGAGGGTTTAGTGAAATATCAGTGAGAGCTTTGTTTTGCTGTGGAATCAATTGTTATACAATACTGCTTCTGAGTCACATAAAGAATAAAGCATATTATTTTCAAACAATGTTGATTTTTAAACATAATGCTTAAGATGCTGAAGAAAATTAAAATGCTCTTCCCTTGGAGAACTTAAAGTCTAAAAAACAACATGCCTGGCAGCCTGAATAGTAACTTTTATTTTTCTTTTTCAAATGAAAGAAATTAAAAGACCTTACCTTTTTATCCTCCACCCCGTGACAGCGATTCTTTCTGTTGGAAGGTGGTGTTTTGTGGTGAGGAAGGCTGAGGGGGTGAGCACCGTAATTTCACTGTGGAGAAAACCAGGCAGTTGATTAGAGAAAACAAGGCTGATTGGAGGAGGAGGAAAGAAAAATTCAGAAGGTATTTTTGTTTGGGGTAGGATGAACCAATTATAAAATATCAGGGTTTCCATGTTAACACATTTCATGTCTCTTTTTAAGAAAAATTGTAATAATTGTTGGACTTGATTCCTTCTCTCAAGCAGGAACCTCTAACCTTCTACTCTTCTCAGGGGATGCCTTTCACACTGGATGGTGTCCGAGGAGCAGAGTACAGTCGGAAGTCACTTTTATCCCCACAGTAAAGACAAATGCACAAAACAGGATGGGTTTCAAAGGGTACTTAAACAAATTACAGTTTATTTTTCCTAGATTAGGTTAAACATACACATGATACACAGAAGAGTCTAGTGAGAAGTCAATTTCCCTTCAACTCCCACCCCACAACCATCTAATGCTTCTCCCCAAAGACAAGCACCGTTTTTCTTTTATTTTTTTGTCTGGAGATAGTCTATTAGAGGCTTCTTATAAAAATACGCTTTTAATCCTTCTGGTAAGGTCAGATTCTGAGGCTCAAATGTTTCCCACCAAGAAAGGTGTTTTGGCACCTTTTTGCAAGATGGATGGGTGTAACCTCAGATTTTCTGTAGAAGGTGGCGGTACCTCACAACCACCCTGGAAGGTGGGTACAGCCAGCCCCGTTTTCCACATGAGGAAAGCTGTGATTCCAGGAAATTGTGTGATTGGCCCTGTCAAACAGATTGTTACTGGTGGAAGCAGGCTTCCCACCCAGACAGTCTGAGTCCTTGGCCTTGTTCTTTCCACCATGCAGCAGAGCTCAATCAACCCAGAGGTCTCTTTGGCACCAGTTAGACTTCTCTAGTGTGGGTGCAAATTGATTTTCCTCTTTTGAAATCATGCTCCAAAATAGCTTGTAAGAAAATTTCAATATTGTACTAGCAATATGCAGAGTTCCAACAAAACAGTGGATGCAGATACACACAGGCCTATGACCCTCATGACCTCCTCATGTCTCCCTGCCCGACTCTCATGGCAGGTTGAGTGGTCACCATGATTCACAGATGCTCTCGGGAAGGGAGGCTGGGCTTGTCTCTTCTTCTTAGCCACAGTAGAACATATTAAGAAAGGAGATGCTTCAAGGCAGACTTGCTGCAAGTACCAGGCCACTGTTCGTCGTTGGTGGTGGTTTCTATCTGCAGACTTGCCATCTTCGTCCCTGCCCCTCCCCCCCCCCCCCCCCCACCAGTGCACCACATTCACCCTTGAGGTAGCCACTCTGGCAGCAACAACCACAAGGTGTCTGAGGTTGTCAGGGGCTCTATCAGTTTCCAGTGGGTTTCACGGGTTTGAGCTTTCTTACGTGTGCACATCCTGGCTTGGTTATACATAGCCCAATTTCTTTAAAGCCTTCTGCACATTTAGCCCTGATGAACATATAGTATTTATTCTAGAATCGGTTTTTGAATAGTGATCATAAGTAGATTCTGAATCATTAACAGGAGGGTGGGTTCTTCCCCATTTTGTATCACCGTGTCACTTTGGATTGTCATTGATAGTTGGCTTGCACTATTCCTATGCTACATTATGCTACTATCTCCCACTCTCCAAGGGTAATAATTTTGGCATTAATTTTAGTCCATGTACAGAGTGCTGAAAATGACCAAGGAGGGAGGAATGCTCTTTTAAAGGAGATTCTTTCTGAGCATCATCTGTGTTTACAGAGAGTGAAGTGTTCTGCCATTTATTTCTGATCCTGCAACACTGAGACATTCCTTATAGCTCTAATGAGTGCCTAAAAATCACAGCCCAGAACTAACAATGTATAGAAGATATACTATTTTTTCCTTGTTATATTAGAAGCACAAAAACATGTCTGACCCAGATTAGCATTTCTCAAGATTAGAATGAATAGGCTTTTAAATTGCTTTGTAACTATTTCAAAGTCTATTAAAATACACTACTAATTTTTTCTTTTCTCAGTCATGTGAGAGAGAACATTCTTGAGAGTAATATTCCTCATTTGAATATTAAAAGATAAATTGTATGTGGTATCTTAATTCTCCCCGCAGGAAACATGCCTGAACATAACAAGGGATTTGTCACAGAGACTTGGGACCAAAATTCAATGGTAGTTGAGGCTGAGCAACACTGCAGAGCCCTCTGCGTGGGGTCAACTTAGGGAGAGGCAAAGACCCCCATCCCCATTGGAGCCAGAGCATTGACTGTGGTGTGAAAGCTCTGGTCTCAGCACACGGGACAAAGCACCTGCCAGCATGCTCTGGTAGGATGTTCACACCTGCTGTTATGGACAAATTTGTATTTTGAAGCCCTAAGCCCCAGTATGAAGGTGTTTGCAAGTAGCGCCTTTGGGAGGTAGTTAGGCTTAGATGAAGTAGTGAAGGTAGGACCCTAGATGCCCTTATAAGAAGAGAAAGAGAGACTAGAGCTCTCTCTCTGTCCCTTCCATGTGAGGACACAGTGGTGTCCGTCTGCAAGCCAGGAAGAGGCCCTACAGGGGAGCTGACTCAGGGGCACCTTGATCTGGGCATTTCTAGCCTAGAACTAAACTAAGTAACAAACTAACTAAATAAATTTCTCTTGTTTAAGCCACCCAGTCGATGGCATTCTGTTATGGTAGCCTGAGCTGACTCCTGCACGCTTTAATGCTGCTCTGACATTGAAATTTTGACTTACCATTTTTGCCTTTTACGCAGTGTTACTGTTTGCTTTGATCTGTGCCAGGTCTTGCGTGTGACCTAGACAGCCCGTCAGGTCAAAGGTCCTCAGGCTGTTCAGTGGAGACAGCCACTCCTCCAATGTCTCCACATCCAGAGACTGGTGGTGGATATCCCTAAGCAGCTATTTCCTTTGCTTTATTACATTTCTTTGATAATTCATTCATAGCATTTAATCACCAACATCGTGTTAAAATTATTTCATTTCTTCTCTCTGTCTGGGCTTGTCCACTAGAATCTGAGCTCTGTGAAGGTCAGGACTTGTTCTCTTTTGTTCTTCTGAATTGTCAGCAGCTAGCACAGCACCCAGGCCCAACAGCTGCTGAGTGGATGCCTGAGTAAGCTGCATTGCTGTGTGTGAGGAAGGGCGCTGGGTGAAAGCACCTTGGATTCAGTGCTAACTTGGTGCCTGAAAAGAGCTAAGGATTCTTTGGATGACGTTTTCCCCAGGGTGTTTCTTTCCATTGCCCTGTCGACTCCTCGTCTGGATACTGTAAACTCACTTCCTTGCTTTGCTTTAAACCGATCATTCTAAGTTGACCTGCGACAGGAAGACAGAACACGCAAAAGGGATGCCCAGAGCTCTCCAGGAGTTCATGGAGGGAGCTGAGATCTGTAATTTCAAGCAAATTATAATTTATGCTCTGAACCAAGAAGACAGCTAGCACAAACCCGGAAGATTATGATCTCTGATTCTCCTCTGTTTTAGGCTGACTGTAAAGTGAGGATGGTTGAACACTTTCATAGAGAAAAGAGGGAGGAAAGATTTCTCCAATAGGTGATTATGTGCCCTAAATAATGACCTTGTATTATGATGTACATTTGCACGCAGATAAGGGGAAAGCTGTGGGTGGAGTGCATGTCAATTTTCATGATGTAGTTGATAATTCAATTTTCAGTGGAGTATCCCACGATTCTCTCACTGGAGGAAATAGGATGACTGGTCACAATAGGGGAGCCAGCCTAAAAACAGGAAATGAGGGTATGGTAAACAGACAGTTTCACATGAGGAAATATAAAGGGAGCAATATTCAAGCCCTTGTTTTAACCAAATTCTTAATAAATGAATTTTAGTTGTTATATTTGTAAATGACAGAAAACTTTTTTGGGTTGAAAGGCAAGCTAAAAAAGAGATAAATGCAGAAAGTTCATAAATCTGTGTAAATGAGAATAAAAATGGCAACTAGATGGGGCCAGCTTGGTGGCACAGTGATTGAGCTCAGCATGTTCCACTTCAGTGGCCCAGGCTTTACAGGTTTGGACCCCGGGTGTGGACATAAACCACTCATCAAGCCATGCTGTGGTGGTGTCCCACAGACAAAATAGAGGAAGAGGGGCACAAGATGTTAGCTTGGGGCCACTCTTCTTCAAGCAAAAAGAGGAAGATTGGCAATAGTTGTTAGCTCAGGGCCAATCTTCTTCACCAAAAAAATAAAAGAAAAAGAAAAAAAGCAACTAGAATATTTGAGAGGTTTTAGGTAATAGCAAAAAATAGTATTTATCAAGAGCTTACCATGTACTGACTACTGTTGTAAGCATTTAGCATCTATTATTTTGCTTAGCCTTATAATGACTGTGTAACATTGGTACTGTTATTATCCTCACTTCATTCATCATGGACTCAGGTAACGAACTTTTCCAAGATCATACAAATAGCAGACGGTGGAGCTTGATTTAAACCCAGGGAGCCCGACTCAAAACTTGAGTGCCTTACCACCACTCCAAGGGATCTCATGAAACACCTAGAAGATGAAGGGATAGAAACCAGGAAAGAGACTGAGAATCCAGAGCATTGTCCAATGGGGAGACTCTTCCAGAAAGAAAGAAAGAAGAAAAGCAGAGCATCGGGAAGAGTGGTAAAAAGCAAACCAAATACTGTCCTATTGGGTTATAATTAGGATGCATTTACACCTGCATTTTTGTGGGCAGTTCTGGTCACATTAATTTAAGAGGGAACCAATCAATAGAAGAAGATTGGTAATAGATGATGAACAGATGAAAACGGGAGTCTGGGAGAAAGACTTTATTTTAAGGATAAAGATTGAGAAAAGGCCCAGATTAATATCTATGAAATCATAACTGATATGACTAAATACAGAAATTATTCATGAAATAGCTGTTCAAGTAAATCTAGGACAAAAAAAGGATGTTGTACTCCACTCCTTTAGTAACAAACCCATGATGTTATCCCAAGAGTTACTGTGGGAAGAATATATTTTATCTATTGCTGTGTTTAACATACTACTAAGAGTAATTATAAACAACTCCTGAAAATGGAGTCGGATTCAGCCTATAAGAGTGATGCCAGGAGGGTAACGATGGGCCTTACCCAGCCAAGTGTTTCTCAAGAAGAAAAGAGCAAGGTTGTACGGAAGTGGTCAATGATGGTTTCTAAGGCAGACAGACCTAGGTTTGAGTTCTGACTCCACAGTTCAACGAGAAGTTATTTAATCCCTCTGAGCCTCAGTTTCATCACCTGCCAACTGCCAACAATCATCCTTCACTGGACAATCGGGCCTGGCACATAATTGGCACTGAAAAACTGTTGGCTGTTATTGTGATTAAGATGACCCCATGTATGTCTGTGTGATGCGCTCAAAAAAGCCTCTCTCTTCCGTTTGGCCGAAGGATGTTGAGGGTTTCAATTTTATTTTTACCTGAGCTGAGCGTCTCAGGCTCGACTCTGAACTCTCTTCCTGTCTCTACAGATGTGGTGGGGAATTGCTGTGACTTCTCTTACTCTTGGGAAGATACAGACTTTTGTGGCATTCTCTAGTAAATTAAAGCAGCTTCCATGTTATTTCCTGATTACCTTTCCTTAATAGCTCACAATTATACAGTGACCTCCTATGGCTTTCTTGAATTTTGTGTTCTGAGTGCTTGGTTTGTTTCTGACAATCGTTTTAGGTCTACAAGGCTACAGGAAAACGACATTGTTTGCCTTTCTTGGGAGAGTGGCTTCCTCTAGTTTGCCCTTTCTTATCTCCTAGATTGAGAACCCCTGAGTCCAGGGACCAAACACGCTGTAGCTGTAATTAGCAACAACTACTCCCAAATAAGCCTTCTGCAATGCAAATGACAAGCTGAATAAAACACAAAGTAGAACGTGTTTGTTATGACTCACATGTTGCCTAGAACTTCAGAGTCCCTGCCCCATTTTGTTTAAATCAAATATGTCAGGTGATCTGGCCACAAGGACTGAGTGTGACATTGATGTGCATTTTGCTGAAACAAGGTCAGCAGTCAGAGCTGGAGAGCTACACCCTGGGGAATTCAGCTGTGACAGTTGCCCAGAAAATTATAATTGAGGAAATTATTTCCTAAATTTCAACAACATTTCTCATTCCCGGGCAATGTTATTTTTTTAAAATCTTATTTTTTCTGTTTGCCTTTCACGTAGATGACTCTTTTTCAGTGACAGCAGTAAGGGCTGACCTAAGAGAGAAACAGGAAGAAAGAAATTGTCCAGAACTTTGAAATTATATAGTTCTACTTCCATCATATTTATAGTTTCAGAGAAATAAATAGAGAAATAATTTTAAAAAGGCAGCACTGGCCAACAAAAATTTACAGTGGAAAGCAAATATTTGATTAGAATCTGAGATTATGACAATTACTTTGTTGTTTTTGTAAACTGACATCCACCTTAAAGACACAACTGTGGAAAAATGTATGAAATTGAAAACACATTGACAATAAAGCTTGCTCACCCCATTCTGCCTTTATTTTTACCTTGGCTTCAAATTTTCTGGCTACAGTCACAAAAAGAAATGAAAAGTCAATGAAAAACAACATGGAGTCATACAGTCTTTAAAAGCTCTTTGCACGTTTTAGTTGTATCTGCCTGGAGCCGGGACTGCCCCCGGAGGCTCCTGGGAGCTCTGCTTCTGTGCACCTCTCAGATGGTTTCCGAGACGGAATCCACTCAGAAGGCACTCAACATCCATATTTGCTTTAGATTGAAAACATAGGATGTTTTTAACCAACCAGGTAACTGTATCACAGAGAATTTCAGCTACAAATTAAAGTATATTTTGAGAGAGACATGGAGAGAGAGAGGGAGAGAAATGATTGGGACTGAAATGTCCATATTAAGTTAATAAGACTTCAGACAGCTCCGCGTTACCCAATGCATACAATTATTTTTTTCCTTGTTCTTCACAATTACCAAAAAAAACTGCCAAGGTTACCCTTTTGCACTCTTTTCCCTGCATTCCCTTGTCTTTTTGAGACTGGTTTTAAAGCATATTTGGTACCCTTCACATCCAGCAATGAGAAAGAGGGGAAAATGGACAAAAAGGAATAAGGGGTCTCCATTCAGAGATGCTGAATCTGGGTTTTTGTAAATGATGTAGGTACTACATTGTGGATGAAACCTTTGTAAATTGAGGCAAAAATGTCTGAGCATTTGTTTCAAAATTTTTACATATATTTTTAAAAATTACCATAAATTTCAGATGGATTACCTATTCAGACAGAGTAGGTAAAGTTGTTAATATGTTCTCCAGCAGTGAAGGAAACTTCCAGAAAGGCCGCTGGCTGCTTCCTTCAGAGGGCAGCTACTTTGGGATGGTATGCAAGTTAAGTTCAAATTCCAGTTTCCTTGCTCAACTTGAACAACACTCAAAAGCTGACCATAAAGGCTTTCCCCCTCTTTTTTGTTTTGTTTTGCCTTGTTTTTAACCTCTAATTAAAGAATTCTGGATATAGATTAACTTCTCTCCCCTCCACCCCACCCCCAGTCCCGACTGTTTTGACTGCCCCAACTAAGCGAATATGCACCTTTGTGCTTTGATGGATTTCCTATTTTGGTGGTAAAAACCCTTTTTTTCCTTACAAAAAGATTTTCTTTGCTTCTAACCAAACTCTCATCTTGCCCTCTGACTCCTCCTCCCCGACTCCCACCCCCGTGTTTCAGGAAGGAGCAATTAAGCAATCCTGCCACGTTTCTTCTGAAATAAGCAAAAACGGTGGCTTCCAGAGCCATGACAGAGGTGCTCTCTCCAGATCGCCCTGAACAGTGTGAGCTAAGGCACGAAGCCTGATTCTAAGCCACTGTCAAAGGACGCCAGGAAAGACAGAAGCGTAAAAGAAGGCAAGAGCCTCGAAGGGAAAGAACGTTTTCTGAATAAAAAGTCCCATCTTTCTTCCAGTGTGGAGCTCAAAAGTGTTGACTCATTCGAATGAACCTGAGCTTCAGCTGGCAGCTTTCTGATAGCAGATTTTGTGATCAAAGACATTGAATAAACCCTTATAAATCCGTTACATGGCGTATTCATAGAGACTAAATGCTGCACCGTCTCACCCCCACCTCCACAAGTATCGAAACCATTACTACGTGATTCCTTCTTGCAAAGGGCCCCTGGAAACACATTGGCCTTAGTGTCCTGAGCCCCTGGGCCGCTGTGGGAGCCACGTGCCCTGAGCCGCCCTGGGATGGGCAGCTCAGGGCGTCCAGGGAATGCCGCTCTCCACCGAGTGCAAGGCCCACACCCAGGCCTCACCTTCAGAGTCAGTGAGGCTGGAGGAGAGGCAGATCCGGTTCCTGAAGGGAAAAAGAGCTTCCTCTTCTCTCCTCCGCGTTCGCCTTCTTCCCCAGGTGCAGAGTCCATGGCTTGGCCATTCTGTTTCCTCTGCTGAAAGGAATGCGGCTCTTGACCTGCTCCTCTCTTCCTCAAGACTCATTAAGGCTTAAGAGCCATTTCTTCCTAGAGTGTTCCTGACACCCACTCCTCCCACCTCCGGTTTCTGACCTCCCCGCTCAGTCTGCTTTTATCCTCTCCTCTGCAGCTGGCGAATGCGCTATCTGATCACTTCCTTGTCGGTCTCTCCGCGGACTGGGGAGTGCTCCTTCTAGACACTGGACTCCAAGAGTCTTGGCGAATCCTTGTGGCCTCCTGTCTAGCACTCAGTAGATGCATAATTGTTAATTGAATAAGCAAACAAACTGTGGGAGCCCACAGAGCTCTTCTGACTTCCTGACTGTGCCAGTAAGCCATGCTGACTGAGCCAGAGACCAAGCCTAGCACTTCCTAAAAGAGGAAAGACTGAAGGAAGGGGAGGAGGGGACAATGACAGAATGGTTTTAAATGAAGTAAGAGCCTTTGACAGGATGAACAAAGAAAATAAACTGGGAATCTCTGTTTCACGGCAAATCGAGTATTCTAAACCCAGATTCAAGGCTGCCTTGCTTTATCAGTGTGGGGCAATCACAAATCCAGTTGTGTCTCCTTCTGCATGTATTTTTCCCTTCCAGTTCTGTGGTTTAGTTGAAGCCATCAAAATGCTAGTGTGATCTATACCAATCACCTCCAGAAGCTTTAGCTGAGCATTCTGAAAGAAAAGCATTTCTTAGCCCACATCTTTCCTTTCTACGTAGCTCTCAACTATATGCATGCACTGCTACTATGCTAATGTATCATGCACATTGTAAAACATTACACATATGACTTAAAAGAAGATGAGATGAAAATATGAACAGAAGTCCCAGCGTCTCTTCCAGGCCGAGTGGACCCTGGCTGCTCCTCATGTGGACGGCACGCCTGGTTCAGAGCTCACCACTCTAGGGTGACTTCTCCCACTTCTCCTACCATGGCTTCATGATTTGCACAGAGTCAGAGCACGTGAGTGGGCTCCTCATTATGCTTCCTTCTGCCTCAGTTTACCTCTCCTGATGAGATAGCCTCATTTATCTCACAGAAACATAGAGATCAATGGACGGTACACTTGACTGTAAGAGTGAGGTCATTCGTCTGGTATATTGTATATTTATTCCTTCTAACCTCTACAGTGTTCTGGGAAAATCTTATTTCATTGAATCACGTTGATTCTTCCATTAGGTGGGGGTTAATGGAGTTGTCTTCACCTTTGAATAGTGGGATTTTAGTAGGTGGAGGAGTCTTAGTGGTGAACTCTAGTCTAGTTTTTACTCAGTGAAATGAGGAAACTGAGCTGTAGAAAAGTCGGTAGTTTCCCTGATATGGCAGATAATCCCCATCACCCGCAAGATTGGCCTTTCCTCCTTTCCTCTAATTTTGTTTACCCTCCTCTGAGTACCCACATGCTCCAAGGTAGGCCCGGCCCCTCTCCATCCCCGGGTGTGCATCTTGCTTAGGGTAGGTCACTTATGGAGAGTCCGTCCATGAGCCCTGCGACGTGCCTGGATTTACGCTTGGGCACATGACGTGGCCTGACCACACTTCTGGGGAAGCTTCCTTGTCTCTAAAAAAGAGACACAGCTGGCAGACATTCCCTTGTTACCTCCGGATCTCATCATCTGCGTGTGGTGTGGACACCTGAGCAGCCACCTGAGGTGGAAAGAGCTGGCCTACAGGGACAGCCTGTCCAGGATGCATGGCAGAGTCGAGAGATGGTCAGCAGTCATGGAAGGAGTTGTCAGCTTCACCATACTGGAACTTCCGTAACTCTGGGCTTCATGCCAAGAAAAATGATAAATGCACTCATTGGTTAAACCACTGCTAGTTGCATTTTCTGTTCTTTGTAGCCAAATGCATCCTAACTGATACATTTATGAAAATCAGGTGGGAGACGGCAGAAATGGAACAAAAATCCAGAACTTTAAAATGGCAAGTAGTACACTGCTTGGTTTTTATTTACAAATAATAGCTGAAAAGAATTCATTCATCCTACGCAATAAGGGCAGTTTGTTCCTTTCACTTCAGGAGCTTGAGTCCCTGTGCACTTCGAAGGTTCTGAAAGAATAAAATTGATTATAAGAAGGTTCTGCTTCTTTGTTTCCATTGGATGTTCGACTCTGGTGACATCTTGATGGTGTTCTTCTGGGAAATGTATTTACTTTTTCATATTGAGCTTCTCATGCAGGGATATCCAGTTATACTCTCAATTTCTTCTATTGGCGAATATAATTTGCCTACAGAGGCCTGGGCCAACAGTGTCTCAGTGAATTAGTGGTAAAATACCTGAGTGTGGAATCAGGGTAGTTGTGTGTTCAAACTGAAACTCCATTCACTGCTGGTCAAGTTGCCTGGGCTGTTGCCAATTAGCCAGGACACTCAGAAATCACCCCAGAGCTTACAAAGGCAATGAGTGGTTTCAAATCACCCACAGACACCCACAGTAAATGGAAAAGCTTTTGTCAACATCTTTAATGGTTTCAGCTGGTAAATTATTAACAGTATATGTGTGGAGTCCTCATTTCAAATACATTTACTTTCTGAACAAGAACATTGGAGAACGGTCTCTCCTGCCGACTCCCAGGCTGCAGGTGCACGCTCTCCCGCCCTCACTTCCCTTCCTCCCTCTCCCGGATGGTGTGGAGTCTCCTTTGCTTAAACAGAGGGGCTTCTCCTCACACTGTGGAAGGCTCTTAGCTTCTCTGGCACACTTCCCCTTGTCCAGGCCCCATCATGTGACTGGTTTCATTCCATTCGACTCCTCCTCTCCTGGCATGCGGGGGAAAGATCATGATTTGAAGAAAATAAACAAAACCTGGACTCTAGTGAAGACTCAGCTACTTACTAACTTATTAACTTTCAGTAAACTACTTAACTTCTCTCAACCTTGATTTCTTCACCTGTAAATCAGGGACAGTCATACTACGTGTATTATCTACATCTCAAAGATGTTGTCAGAATCAAGTGACATAATCCTTGTGGATAGGCTCTGAACCTTATGATTCTCAATATTTACAAATTGTGTCGTTTATGTTGATATTTTTACTTCTTAGGAGGTTGACACACATCCACCCAAATGTTCTAATTCTGACTGACTCAGTAGGCAAGAATAACAAGTCCACATGCCAATGAGTGGAATGACCCATATGACACATTCGCTGGAAAATATAGAGTGTGGGATTGTTTTTACACTAACAAACATGGAGAAGCAGATCCTGTTATTATTTTTTACAGCAACATTTCCTGACTTATACCTGGCATGCTGGGTAATGTCCATATGGTAAGAATATTCAATATTCAAGGGAGAGAGGGAAAAGATTCAGAAGAAACGAAAGGGTGGGTAGGAGAGACAGGTTAGATTTTATCGAGATTTTTTTGGTAAGAACACTAGATATTACGTTGTTATGATTACATCTGTGAGACACAGACAGTGTCCTGAATCAGAAGACAATAAAATGTATAGTCTACAACTGTCACTAATTTGATGATGCTGGGAAAAATATGTAACTTCCCTCAGCTAAATTTTCCCCAACAATGAAATGGAAATGGGAATGGTACCTACCTCACAGGGTTTCTGTGAGTCCTGAGTAAGATAATGCACAAAGTAACTAGCACATGGTGATGATGATCATGCTGTGTGTGTGCATATGCGTATGTGTGTGTACGTGTATGGTGTGCATGTGTGTATGTGTGTGTGCAAGCATGTGTGTGCATGAAAGCCTGTTACCAAGTTTCTGGTTTACTGAGGAGCCACACATTTACCTGATCACTTATTGATCACTTATCTATCACAGTACCATGCTCAAGGGCAATGGACTCTTCGGGTGCTCAGAATCTAGACAAAAAATAGAGAAGTCAAGGGCACAGAAAACAAGAATATAGATGAAAAGTAAATAAATTCAGATGCTAAACACAGACCATCATTGGCTGTAGATGCTGAGAATAGTATGAGTTTCTCAAGACCTGACAGATGCACAGAAGCAGGATCATGGAGAATGACTATGTCTTTAAATGGGTAAGACAAACCAGGCGTAGAAGCAACAGGAGCAAGAGTGCTGAGGACATAGAAAGAAACCAGACTGGCTAGAATGGCCAACCAGTGGGCACTGGCTGGATAGCAAGATAGGGTCAGGTGTCCTTTTCATGGATGCTTCCATTGGCTCCAATATCAGTGGAGTCTACCGGTCATTGCTCATGAATTGCTTCCTAAGTGAGCAGCTTCAATGTGCAATGCCTGGGAACTCATTAACACATGAGTTACAGTATCGCCTGGCCTCTCTCTTTGATCAGGAGCAACTACTGGGTGGTTTGGTGTGCTAGGCATCAAGACAGGTTATGAGGAAAGTAGATAGCGTGTAACATACCTGGCCAGAAGATCTTTCTAATTATGGACAGAGGATAAAACATATCTGTAAAGAGAATGAATCTTTATAGAATAGGATAGTTGCATGTTTTAAGAAGGAGCACCTTTTCATAAAAAACAGCATAATAAAAATAGAAAACTGTCAGCAAAGGCGGGGTTGTCATGAGGTGGCTGTGCTTTGCCTGTCACATCAGCTGTGTATGTGTGCGTATGGGGGAGCAGTCAGCATGCCACAATGTTTCCGGTTTGCATGGCAGCTTACCCATCATATTTCGATCTTGCTCCATCAAAGCAAGGATGATGTGTTCAATGATTTTTTTTAAAATCCTCTTGCTCATCTTCTTTTGTATTCATGGATTATGTGTCTCCACTTACTCCTCCTCAACCTGACTCTTGGTATAAACTTAATTTCTCCCCTCAGCTGCTGCTGATTCTCCCCATTCCTCAGAACGTTCGTCCTGTTCCGGAGCAGGGCTCCTGGATGATCCCTACTTCTCACCAAGTGTCAGGGCACACAAAGCCCTGAGAGGGAAGCTGGTTGCACGTGCAATTTAAAATTAGAAGGAGAGAAAATATAAATGTGGATACAAAACAACAGTTTCAATCTCGGAGAATGAGATGAAATCATAGTTACATGAGGTTTTTATATGTTCGTAAACATGACTGGGAGAAACAAAGAGAGCCACCTGCTTCCAGCCAGCTACCTGTCAAATCTTCAGGAAGGTGAGGAGGGAGAGGTGCTGAGGGCGGCTGGCGGAGGAGCTCCCACCAGCTTGAGCTCCTAGGGGCAGAGACTGTGTCTCTTTTATTCCTTTGGTCTCAATAGTGCTGGACACATCATAGATGCCCATTTAGAGCTTGGGTAAATGAGAAAACTCTACAAAGGTCTGATGGATTGGAAGTAGCTTCAAGCAGATCCACAGTCTTCTCTTTTTTTTTGAGA